CTTAAAGGTTTTTAGTACATATCCTAGCAACAAAGACGAATTAATGATATTAAGAAGAGGATCTATGACATCTAGAAGCATCTCTTTCAGTAACTTAGTCGGAATAGGGTCTAGCATACAAGTTGTTGAATTAGATGAATTAACCCGTTTGCAAAATTCTTCCTCTCCTATAGCAGTATAATGAACTAAATTTTTCCTCAGGGAGACTACAATGCACCCTCTGATGCGACACTGTAGTAGACGGTTGCATAGTTTAAGGTCAAAAAACACTTTAATTTTCTCATCATAATACACATTTCAGCATCACCTCTTTAATCACAATGTCAGAAACTGTTCAATTAAGGATTCAGTCTCTCTTAACCCCTCCTTTCCGAGAGACTATTCTTTTTTTTTTTTTTTTAAGAGGACCGGTGAAAAAAAAGCCCAGGTCAGTAAGAACCAGTCAACAAACCCGATGAGTAAGAATCAGTCAACAAACACTGCGAGTAATATCTTGTCCTGTTGTTATTGTCACCTATGTCACATCACATGTTTAGTATAGCCTTCTCCGATAAATGCAAGGAGTCAGTCAGGCTGACGGAAAAGATTTCAGAACTAGAGACAAGCTTTCAAACTTTAATTGAGGTTGGTAAGAATGCTAGATCTTTAGATAGCATTTTGGATGCGCCTAGCATAGGGAACTCTTTACGTGATTCGGTTCTGGCTGAAGTAGAGCACGTGCAGCAGGGCAGATGGTTAACGGTTAGGGATCGCCGCTCTAGTCGCGGATCAAAGAACCACTCTTCCATTCCGATGCCCATAACAAATCGTTTTGCCCCACTCAGTGAAACACCAACTGAGAATCCTCTTGAATGTGCCCTGGTAATTGGTGATTCGATCACAAGGAACGTGTTTGCCGGGAGTCAGAGCGCCTGACATCAGAGCAAATTTAAAAGTGCTAGCTAATATTTCGGATTTCATGGAAGGAGAGCTCGATCGCATACAGAGATGCCTTAAAAACCGCTAGATCTACTTATTTTTCAACCCTATTAGAAGAAAATAAACATAATCCTAGGTATCTATTTTAAACAGTGGCTAAACTAACGAAAAAGAAAGCTTCACGCCCAGAAGTGTCAAAGCAACACAGCAGGGACAAAATTATAACCGTGTTTGTTGACTGATTCTTACTCACCGTGTTTGTTGACTGGTTCTTACTCACCTGGGCCTTTTCTGAACTCAAAGGCACGGGTCCTCTCAAAGAGAAAGGAGGGGTTTAGAGAGACTGAATCCTTTCATTGAACTGTTTCTGACATCGTGACATCGTGAAAATGAAAGTGTTTTTTGACCTTGGATGCATGTAAACCTATAGTAAGAGACTTAAAATAGCATTTTAGGGGAACTTTAATTGTTAATTTTATACAATAAGCATTTACCCAGTCAGGGTCCGTGGCTTGAACCGTGACTCTGTAGTAGGTCAGCTTTCCATCTTCTCGCTCCTGCACGATGAGATTGTCTTTCGTGAATCTCTTCATCAGCTGAGCGATCTCAGTGGCTCTCAGCTGCTTGCAGACCTCTTCAGTAAGATCAGCCAGTTTGACCTGATCATGACTTTTAGCTGGTCGTGGGGCTGGAGCTGAAGGCCTGAAGCTGCTCCTCTCTCTCGGGCCGTGAGGCTGGTCCTTCACGGGAGGAAACTGCTGTGGATGCAAGAAGCGACACTGATCCTCCATTGCACAAAACCCAGACAGAAAGTAGCGGCAGGGACGCCTGGGTCTCTCCTGCTTCACGGGAGCACTTTTGTGGCCGGATGGAGGCGGAAGCTTCTTTGGTAAAGATTGGCTGTTTTCGCTCGACTGCTCTTTTTTGTCTGATGCGTGACCATCCACGTTTCCTTCTTTCCCCTTGTGAGCCGTGCCATTCTCTCCTTCTTTCAATGGACCTGCAGCTCTCTGATGAAGAAAGCGGCACCTTTTCCCGTAATAGCATTGCCTGCCCTGAGAGTAAAAACGGCACAGTTGCTGCACCTGACCGGCCTTCTGTGAAGTCTCCTTACTGCCAATCTCAGTATCATGGCTTGAGTCATCCTTTTCCGTTTCAACCGACACGGATGGGGCTGGTTCATCCTCAGGAACCAATGACTGTGAAACATAAATAAAACAACATTAAAATAACTTTTATATGACAACAAAGATATGACTGAACTGCAGATTTGGATGTGCAATACAGCATTTTTTAAATTCAAGTTGTGATCCTAATTAATGAGCCCTTTCAATCTTTAAACCATGTTCCCACAATAATTAGTGATGATTCGATAATTCTGGTCAAATAGAGTTCAGCCAATAAATGGCAATTAGAGTAAACAGAAAGGTATTTTGTAATCATTCAACAATAAAACACAACTGTACTTAATTGTATAACATTTGTTAATCAGCAGGGCAAGCTCTAATGAGGGGATAGCTCTAAAACTGCTGAAAATATCTGCTTAAAACCTTATCACAGGGTTCCCTGTTAACATTCATTAAACCTGATTAATGCATATACTGTACATTACATAACATCTGAAAGTAAACACTGAAGTATATTCAGCAAAACTGCTCTTTAGAACAGTTAATTCAGTGAACTGGTTATACTGATTCAATAGTTCCTTTAAATGTTCTAGGCCAGGGGTTCACGACTCCACTTCTCGGTCCACTTTCCTGCAGAGCTTAGCTCCAACCCTTATCAAACACACGTGAGGTTAAAAATGTCCCGAAGCAGATTTCGCTCATGTTGGTCATGTGAATTTGACGCATTGATCAACAGAAAACTGCTTGGTTTGAAAGTGGATTCTGTAGTGGTTCATGCATTGCTACACTATTTGACAAGTGACTCATTTTGCTGATGTGACTGAACCTTTAGCACTCTTCTGCATTTTTTCAGAGGCAAAATCTAGTCTTTTCAATAGGAATCTATGCAATTGGAATTTCACGGGACAATTGACAATAGTAGACAATTAACATATCAAATAAAGCCTTATGCATGTGCATTTGTTATGGATACTTTCGTAACACTGCTTTATTAAATTTCCAAATCTTTTGGTTCGAACAGTGGTTCATTTCAGCACTTTATAATTAATTTAATAAATATTCCTTATGCATTTATAAATTTACCAATCCTTGCCTAATAACACCCAAAACAAGCAATAGCAAAAAAAAAAAAAAAAAAAAAAAAAATGAACACAAATTTCACATTTAACCCTATAAACCTATATGCATCATATTTAATATGTGATTTTCAAAGGGCTCTAAATTATTAACATGATATAAAAGGCCTTTTTTATGTTTAGTAATAAAAAACATTTTCTACTATAATTCTAAAATTATCCACCTTCAGGTTCTGGTACACGTGTTTTTGCAGTGAAATCTTTGAATCATGTTATATATTTCCATATGACCTGGACTAATTTAGGTTTACTTTACATAAATATCATCACAAATCATGTTGAAATGCGAGTAGCAAAATGGCAAATGTGATACATCAGACGCTTGAGAAGTGTTTTTTTTTTAATCTATGAATCATAATTGAATTGCATTTTATTTTTTGACATCCACAATTAAAATAGAACTGTGATAAAAAAAAAGCATTTAAATATCATATAAAATATGTTATTGGGTGACAAATTGACATGTATGCATTTTATGTAAGTAGTCTTGTTATACTTAACTAATTTACATTAAAAGCTATCTGAATTTCATCTAACTTTTAGCCCATATAAATAAGCATCAAATTGTATTTTTTTTTTTTTGCTTAGTTTGGGCCTCTAAATTAGTGTTTTCCCCCTCCTCCAGTATGAGCTATATATTCTCCTATGTGGACCATAAAAGCCTGGTGTATCAAATATGATTCAAAACATAAAATACATATGCAAACCTTTTAACATATCGTTAAAAACAAAACAGTATATGAAGAGTTCAGATGCAAAAGCCTCTAAATGCCATTTGAAATTTTCTTCTTTAATGTTGATTTTTATCAAACTTGTATATTTAAGTTCAGTAATTTCACTTAAATAACAATTAATAGGTAATTATCATTGCCATTTAAGTGAAATTACTGAACTTAAATATACAAGTTTGATAAAAATCATCATTAAAGAAGAAAATTTCAAATGGCATTTAGAGGCTTTTGCATCTGAACTCTTCATATATATATATATATATATATATATATATATATATATATATATATATATACAGGGTTAATGGTACTATGTAGGTAACATTTAATAGAAACATTTGGAATAGGTTTTGTAAAAGGTGTAATTACATGTTTGGGCAGAGTTGTCGATGAATAATTACACCGTTTGACCAAGTGCCGCAAAAGGTTGTATTTTGAGCCGAGTGCTTCGAAACACTGAATCATTTAGCGAATCAACTGGTTCATTTCATTCAGAATTTCAAAAAGCTTATTTCTCCTGTCACTAATGTTCATGTTGATACTGATTTACACTTTTATTAGCTGTGTTAATTATGTTTTATTAATACAAGGTTGATATTCAAACTGAACCTATTCATCTGATTCTTTGGAAAGATTCCATTTACGATTCATTTACGTTACAAAAGAATCGAACACTGCTAACACGCACTTTGGAATCAGGAAGTGCTGCTAAACTTCAAGTTTGGCATTTATAAATACCATCTAGTTTAGGATTACTCGTGTTGGCGATAGTGTCATTATTTATAGCACTGAAATTACTGGTGAACATTTGTCATGAATGTTACCCAACAGATTTGCCACTAACCTGCACCACCACACCCGCACTTTCTGACTCCATTTAATCGGATACTTGTAGTCAATGTAACTGTCCAATGCTTCAGAGTTTATTGCTGTCGTTCAGTGTCGTTTACGTTCACGTTAGCACAAACACACGAGTTTCTAAGATAACGAGGCATATGTTTGATGAAAAAAAACAAGAAACAAAACGTTAACTTCCTCCAGGGGACGCTTTGTTGGCTCAAAAGGTAGAACCGTCCGTTGATGCGCATTCAAATCTCAAGACATTTTTTTGCATTACGGGAGACATTTTCACACTAAAAAGCCAAATCGTTTGAATCTGTTTACTGGTGCCTGAAATAATATCATTGCTAAATTAGAAATCTTTTCCAGCAAGATTAGTAAAAAACGTTTTAGGATTTAATCACGAGCACCTGTGATTCGTCCAAACCGACCAGCGCCGAAGAAAGTAACATGTACCACGTGACAGCGTCACCTATATACTTCAGCACCGTTCTGTAAGAAGCGTTCTCTTTCTGGCTGTGTGGCTGGCTGGTCCTCTGGATGATAAAAACGGTCCAACATTGCAGGAAATAGCGACAGGGACGCCTAGCCCTCTCTCTTGCTTTACAGGAGCAGTTTTGTGGATGAATGGGGGCGGTTGCTCCTCTGTACCAGACTGGCTGCTGTCTCTCGACTGCTGATGTGTGGGTCTGATGCGTGACCATCCACATTTATTTTCTTTTTCTTTGTGAACTGTACATTTTTCTCCTTTTTCGTCGCGCCTGTTACTCTCTCATGAAGAAGAGGGGCTTTTATACCTGTAGTAGCATCATCGCCTTCCCTGAGTGTTGAAACGGCACGATTACTGCACATTACCGATATCATAATTAAATAATTAGCATCGGATTAATGACAGTAAGAACTGGTGATATTCACTGAATTAAAAATAAACGTTAAAAAAATTGTATATTTGGGCCAAACATAACTGGCCAGTCAGAGAGAATGTATGGGCCAAAGCCACGCCCATGTATGGTTTATGCTAATCGCCATTCTATTTGTTTATTTTTTTTCCAGTGGTTTGAACTAGACGTCATCGACGCCCTCTTGCTTTACGGAGTAGAATTACAACAGAACGTGTCAGGGCAAGTTCAAGTCCTGAGCAATACATTCATATCCAACCTGTCCTAAAACACATCTTTAAATCCTATAATGTAAATAAATATATTTATTACGTTGTGTAAACAACGTCTACATCAAAATACACCCCTAAATAATTTACAAACTGAACGAGTGTATAAATATTTCAGTACAAAGTCATCAGATACCTGAGTCACATGAAACGTCCAGGAGAATGCCGTTAGGAGAGCTAAACAATCGTTTTATTTGATGCTGAAAGAAATATAGTCAGACAAACTTTGAAAATGACACAAGTGTGTGTGTTCGAGACTATCTGGGTGGCCTACCAGACAAAAGACTCGGTTTTGCAGCCTTTGTGGGACTACATGCGACTCAACCACTCTGAAACTCTCCGGTCTCCTCTCTTTCCTGTGATTTTGACCGTAGCATCGTATTTTGTTCTTTGCGTACCCTACCTAGTCTGCGACATGATGGGAAAGAAGTGGCCAGCTATTTACCAGTACAAGATTCAACCCAACAAGCTGCCCACAACAGCAATGCTCCTTCACTGCAGTGGAGTTACTCTTTATAATCACCTAGTTCTGGTGTTTCCTGCAGCAGTGGCACAGTGGTTGTGGAGACCTCCTGTTCCTCTGCCTGAACAAGCTCCTACATTGTTCGAACTTGCAGGTGGGGTGACTGGAAACCTTCTTCTCTTTGACTTGCAGTATTACATCTGGCACTTTTTGCATCACAAGATCCGCTGGCTGTACGTGACTTTCCATGCCATCCACCATAATTACTCTGCCCCCTTTGCTCTGGCCACACAGTGCCTCGGGGGGTGGGAGTTGGTCACGGTGGGCTTCTGGACCACGCTCAACCCTGTCCTGCTGAGGTGTCATCTGCTCACCACCTGGATGTTCATGGTGGTCCACGTGTATGTTTCAGTGGAAGACCACTGCGGATATGTTTTCCCTTGGTCCATGTCTCGTCTGATCCCATTTGGTGTCTATGGAGGTCCGAGCATGCATGATGTGCATCACCAGAAACCTAATACTAACTTTGCACCACATTTTAGTCACTGGGATAAACTCTTCGGCACCTATGCTGATTTTAGTTTTGCTAATACTCAGTGATGAGCATGCATGCAAATGTATATTAAAAGTGCATGTTTGTTTGCTTCAGGCAACTTTTGGAATTTACTTTTATTGTAAACAGACAGTGCAAGAAGGATTTAAGCACAAATAAACTAAAATCTAAAATTGATGCTATGTACATACACTGCAGATGACTTAAACCATCATTGTAAAATAACTTAAATCTTAAAAAGATTCCAAAGTTGGAACCATTTACTGGGAAATGGGTTGTTGCCCCCGAGTTATTTGTTCAATTCACCATTCTGGTAAAATCTTATATAAATATATAATATTTTTAGAATTTTATAAATATAGAAATTTAGAAAACACATTTATACAACCATTTCAATACTAGTCTTACATATGAAAAATAAAATAAAAAAATACTTTTGTAAAATACAGCTATAATGTACAGTAATTGATTTAGTTTATTATCCATAATTCTTAAAGCCTTATTTTATAGAAACCTGATATGATTATATAGGCCTATATGCTGTCAAATAGATTAATCACGATTACTTGCATCTAACATAAACGTTTGTGTTTATATATGTGTGTGTGTGTATACAGTATTTTATTATACTTATATATTTATATGTGTGTGTGTGCGAGTGAGTCTGTGTACAACTACATATTGTACATATATTATATAAACACAAACTTTTATGTTAGATGCGATTAATCGATTTGACAGAACCTTATACTGTTTATATATATATATATATATATATATATATATATATATATATATATATAAAGGAAGATATTCAATATGAACTTAAACATCTCATCAAATTATTTTAAGACCAAATAATCTGAGTAATAAAATGTTTGGATGGGGAAAATATGTAAATCAAGAATTGTTTTGTTCCTCTTTTATGGTAGAAAGGCATTAAACCAACGTGCTAAACCAACCACAAGAGGAAGAAGACAAAAACCCTCAACCCTTCACACAGTTTATTAAAATAACGAAGATTTGCATATGTGTGCAAACTCAAAATAGATTGCACTGCAGTTATCTCTCATTCCAAAGCCTGTTTCTTTTCTCTCTTCCTCTTTTTTTGTACGTGAATATTTAATATTTAAACATTTGTGGTTTATTTATTTCATGAAATAATTGACCCTGCAAACCTGCAGTTGTGTTGTATGCATGTAGGCTCGCAATTGACCTTTGACGTGATTACGCAATTCAATGATGTAACAGCAGGTTACAAAAAGATTAGCCTACCTTGTTAAATCCCTTTGTGTAACTCTTGCATGTAGATACATAATGTGTGAACCTACTCATATATAAATACAGGTCTATGTTTTGATGTGGTATGAAAATATGCAGTTATTTGCAGTTACAAAAGATTAAATAAAGAATAGTTGGCTGTTTTTAAGAAAATGTGAGTGTTGCTTAAAAAACATGTCATATAATGTTAGTTTTGACTGATGCTTTGTTAAATCAAGCGCTACTAATAAAAATCTATTAACAATATAACTGTGACTGTGACTGTGTCTCAAAACCCAGTTGATTTTTACCTTAATAATATCTCTGTCATTGATGCTCAATCTGTTTTGGCACAGCCAATGAGAGTGCGTCATCTGACCGCTATGTGGCGCTGTTCCCGGATCAGACTGTCTCAAACACACTCACACATATACAGCAGTGGTGGTATGGCAGCCAGGAAACAGACAGCCATTTTATAATCTGCAGCCTGTCTGTTATATTTGCAGTTTAAACTGCTTTTTCCATCTGTTAATAATGGGTCAGTGTGGGATTACGTCGTCTAAGACGGTCTTGGTGTTCCTGAACCTGATATTTTGGGTAAGTTTGAAGTGTTTGACACTGAATTTGAGAGTGCGTCAGTGTTTGTCAGATGGACACAGTCAGGTGTCGAGCAGCTGCATTATTTCACACACTCTTTTACATCACCAATTCATTTATACAATCTTTTGAAATACAATGCATTCTTTGCTATGCCGATTTTTATTTTGAATGCATATTTTAAAAATTGCTCTTTGCTGCGGATTGCAATGTGTGTTTACATATTCAGTCATGATTCTGCGTTTAAGACTTTTTAATGGCCAATAAACAGTGACAGTATAAAATGACTGTTATTTATTTTATTTTTGAATTAGCCTTGTATGAGTTGTTGTTTGTGAAATGGCCAGTCAAGCTCTTTGTTTCCTTTAGCCACAAAGCAGGTTAAATGTTATTGTTTGGGATGTTAAAGGGATAGTACACCAAAAATAAAAAATGGCAATTCTGTTATTAATTAACTTACTTGCCCTCATATAGTTCTAAACGCGTAAATTAACACTTAAGTTAATCTTCGGCGCACAAATGAAGATCTTTTGATTTAAAGAAATCTGAATGATTTCTGTCCCTCCATTGACAGCTAAGCAATTACCACGTTGATGCTTCAAAAAGTTCATAAAGAGATCGTAAATCTTATCCATATGATATGAATTGAGCTGATTAGTTCACATTTTATGAATAGACTCGATCGCTTTATATGATATATTTTATATGATAAACAGATTGAATTTATGCTTTTATTAAACCAAGTCCTGGGCAATTTGTACAAGCAATCCTTAAAGGGATGCTCCACCTTTTTTTGGAAATAGGCCTAAAATGGAATTGAACTCCACATAGTTAAACAGTTGAGTTTTACCATTTTCGAATCTAATCAGCCAATTTTCTGATATTTAGAAGAATATCAGTAACCAAACAGTTTCTGGTCCCAAGGACTTTCATAGTAGGAAAACATATAACATATACTATGGAAGTCAATGGGACCAGAAACTGTCTGATTACTGATATTCTTCTAAATATCAGAAAATCTGCTGAATGGATTCGAAAATGGTAAAACTCAACTGTTTAACTCTAAGAGAGGTGTAAAATGATTTCCTATTTCTAAAAAAAAAAGTGGAGTATCCCATTAAGGATACTAATAGCAGTTAATTATCACACAAAACAAAGAACATGGAACATATTAGGAACTGGATTAACAAACAGGTCCTAATATGACTTAAAAAATAGTTTAAAACCATATTTTCTTTAACTGTATATTTTCTTTAACAATATTTCAATATAATACAATAATAATCATGTTTTGATAGACAAAATCCAGTTAAATAACAAAAAAAGAATTGGTCAAATAATAATTGACAAAAAATTATGGAGAAAAATATTCCAAATGGAGATTTACTAAATATCCTTGCCAATTTCGAATAAACTGAGATTTTCAGGTCTCATAGTTTTAACTAATGTCAAATGTGAGGTTGAGGTGAATTTAGACATTCAATAATGTAATGTACAATATCAAATGAACAATATGTAATAAAATATGAAACAAAAGAAAAAATTCAACAACAACAACAAAATATTAACAAAATCAAACTAACTTGTGATTTTGCGCACATTGGGTTTGACAGAACTGGGGCAAAGTTTTACATTTAATATTTAAACTGAGCTGTCAGATCTGTAGGAACACTACTCCGCCTGTCAGCTTGTCTTTGTGCCTTTGATTAATCTCTTTAATCTGGGACTGAATGAAGTTTAACATCTCCTCCTGGCAGATTGAGGATATGACACTATCCTGTTATTTTTAGGGATCAGGCTGCTTTATTAAATCCTTGTTCATAATTTTAGAGCCTGAGAGCTGTGCTACATTGATTCAAAGGAGGTTTTATGGTTCTATTGTAAATGGGAAATACCAAATCCCTATAAAATAGTTTTTTGCTAAAATGCCTGGAGGTCCATGGAGAACGCAGCCCACTTATTTGTAGCCATTTGATTTGATTTGACCATTTATTAACACTAAGGGGACGCACAATATCGACCAATATATATATAATTTCAGATGCAGACTGTTCACCATGATGCTTATGAATCACTTAGAATAGAAGTACAACATGTGCAGCGCAAGTCTGTCATACAGGCTTTATAACATATAATGAAAACATTATAATTGTGTGCTTGGGACATGGATTTAATGGAGAGACATTTTGTGTTTGTAATCAGGCTCTCAAAAATGAAATAAAAATTTTAATTTAGATTTATCCGCCAATATATTGGTTAATGGCTTTCAAATATAAAGAATTATTGGTATCAGCCAAAATGTTCATATCGGTGCATCCTTAACTAATACTCTAATGAGAGTTAGTTGACAAAGTTACTTCTAGTTCATAGAATGACTGAAGTGGACCATCGGAATAAAATCAGTGTAATGGTAACCTTTATTTTTTCCTGTCTCATTTCCTTTCTGATGAGTGTGACCTTCAATTTTGGATCACGGTTTTCTTGTTTGTCAGCATTCCAAATATGTATTAAACTTGTTTTGAAAGTCAAATTGACGTGAACAAATTTGAGTTTGGCTCCTCACTTACCTTAATTCTGATGTACTCTTTTAATTAGATTTTCTTATTTTGTTACTCAACTTATTTTGAGTTTTATCTCTTGGCATGAAAACTCATATCCGCTTTCAGTAAGTAGCCTAACTCTGTTATCTACTTCTAGGCCGCTGCTGGCATCCTGTGCTATGTTGGAGCCTACGTGTTTATCACTTATGATGACTATGACCATTTCTTTGAGGATGTGTACACCCTGATCCCAGCCATCGTCATCATCGCAGTCGGAGCGCTGTTGTTCATTATTGGACTCATTGGATGCTGCGCCACTATTCGAGAGAGCCGCTGTGGGCTTGCCACAGTTAGTAAACTATTAAGTTCCCAGCACTGCATTTTACTGTTTTTCTTCAAGATACTTCACCCCAAAATGATCATAATTTACTCTCTTTGAAATACACTTCTGTTTGGGGTCTGTATTGAAATTTATTAACTTATTTGAAATGGTTACTTTTATTAAGCAAGGATGCATTAAATTGATCAAAACTGACTGCACTGTAAAGACTTTTTAATAACATTTTCAACATTGATAATAATAATAAATGTTTCTTGAGCAGCTAATCAGGATATTATAATGATTTCTGAAGGATCACGTGACACTGAATATTGTAGTAATGATCCTGAAAATGTAAATAACATTTTTAACATTTTAAATTGTAATAATATTTCCCAATAGTACTGTTTTTACTGCTTTTTTGTACCGTACTGCAGTTGCTATTGACAAGTTTAGACGATAAATAAATGGATATGATAGTTAAGCGTTGTTTATGTAGCTTGCTTTCTGAAACCATTGTCTCCATTTTTTACAGTTCGTCATCATTCTCATGCTGGTATTTGTGACTGAGGTGGTTGTGGTGGTTCTTGGCTATATTTACAGAGCAAAGGTAAGTCCTGCGTGTATAGGAAGTCAATATTTATTGAAATAGGAGTGCCTGCATCTCTTTTGTTTTTTTTATATGAAAGGTCCTTTCACACCCTTTCAGTTTCAGTGAACAAGGCATGCAATGCAATATCTGTCTTGTGGTGTGCTGTACTTTAGTTGTAGCAATGCGCTCTTTGACATAGACTAGAAAATTGATACTAGTCTCCACCTACATAATGAAAGGGTTTAGTGAAAGGTGGATGTCAGGGTCAGAAATTAACAGAAATTATGTGGGCTTGGGGCAAAATTACTGTCAAAATGAAGAAAAATTCCCTTCTAAATTCAAAATATCTGAAAAAATTTCATTTTATGATTTCTTGGGGTTTTTTTTTGTATTTATAACATGATATACTTAATGTTACACAAGCAAGAGTGTTGTTTTTCTGAATATCAGCCCGATTGCAAATGTGATATTGATTTTATATTTCAATAAACAAGGAGTTACAAGTGAATTACATTTTAGACACAATTTCAAGAAATCGGTCCAACGTTTCCAACGTTTTCAAGATATAGGTTGCGGTAATGATTCAACGACACATATATATAAAGTCACTCACTTGCTTTGTTACTGAATTAACCAGCCATTTAAACGCATTGGTTGAATCAATGCATTTTTTTAATAAGGTTTGAAAAAATTGCAATGAAAATCAGTGTAACGGAAAGTTAATTACTGTCACCTGTGAATATGGTTCTAGGTGGAAGATGAGGTCAATCATTCCATCCAGAAAGTGTATAATGAGTACAACGGCACCAACATGGATGCTCCCAGCCGCGCTATTGACTATGTGCAGAGACAGGTGAGACTCCACAAAACATTCGGTTATTGAATTCATTAAATCAGTCCCGACCCTTAATAAAATCGCTATAATGTCTGTCACGACGTAAAGCTCCATTGTTGCGGCATCACCAACTACTTGGACTGGAAGAACACCAGCTGGTTTAAGGAGTCCAGGAACAACAGCGTGCCACTGAGCTGCTGCAAACCCAACGTGAGCAACTGCACCGGCTCGCTCTCCCGTCCCGGAGACCTCTATCCTGAGGTGAGAGCCCTTATGTGTGCTTGCGAGTGTTACCGATGATGCAAAGGAAGTGTGCATGTGATGTTAATGTATCCGTTGAACCACCTTAGGGATGTGAAGCCCTGGTTGTGAAGAAACTGAAAGAGATCATGATGTACGTCATCTGGGCCGCTCTGACATTTGCTGCTATTCAGGTATGCTGTTCTGAATTATTATTATTTGTTTATTTTGGTCAGACATTATCTTATTTAAAGGTAGGAAAAAATATATATTATGGACGTCAGTGAGACCAGAAATAGTATGGTTACTGATATTCTTCTAAATATCCGAAAATCGGCTGAATGCATTCGAAAACGGTAAAACGCGACTGTTTAACTCTGGGGGATTTGTAAAATTAGCCTATTTCCAAAAAAAAAAAGAACTCTGTTTTCCTCCAGATGCTGGGAATGCTGTGCGCTGGTGTGGTGCTTTGTCGCAGAAGCCGGGACCCGGCCTATGAGCTCCTCATCACTGGAGGGACGTATGCATGAAAAAACCTAGCAGACAGACTCTTTTCATGCACACACCAACAGTCTCACTCACACACACACACACACACACACACACACACACTGGGCTCAGGGTTCTGTCGGTGTGAGGTGGCACACTGGATATGCCCTTATATATCTCTTTGTTTCTACATACCCCACACAGGGTTTGCTCACACAATTCACTGGTGATGGGTGAAGCGAAGTGCATAATATTTATTTATACAGTACGTCACTGAAAATGACTGCGTTTTAATTTAAACCTTTGTCTTTCTCTCAAAGGCGTTGGGCCAGACTGCAAAATGGCGAACAGCCAGTTTTTTATCCCGTTGAGAAGATTAAAATAACACTTTCTCTTCCTCGTCTCTATTATATGGAGTGGAAGATGCTGTTATTGTATGGAATAATATGTGGAATGTATGCTTTCCTCATTTGTTAGTTTGCACTATGTGTACGGTTTAATATATCCATATTACAAATACCAAGGTGGTAAATGGCTGGGGAAATGTGGATCAACTCGTGGTGTACCGCTGTCTCAGATGTCACCCATCACCAGTCCGCTGCTCAGGGACAGTGGCAGTGTGAGAGACAGGTCTGGATTGACCACACAAGATTACTTTGCATTATGGGTCCAAATCGTACAGCTAAATGTTCAAAATGGTGTTCACAGCGGTTTACATGTAAAGTGTGAACAGGTTTTGGGGGGGAGGGGGGGACACTCTACATGCACTACCTAAAAGTTACCAAACTTATATTATTTTCCTTCTTTTTCCATTGCTTACAGTGTGAACATTACTAGTCTTGTAATATATAGTTTAAAGTTAGTTTGGATAACATGTAGGTATGTAGAACAGGTTCAACAGTGTATTAGTTTAAATGAATGTACATAGGGAGGAAACAAATGGTGAAAAGCTCGCAATTTCGATCTTCAAATAAATGTTTCATAAGTTGACGCCTGTTATGTATTTTCATTTCACTGATATGAATTATTTTTGGTTTGAATGCTGTGGTTGCAACAAAAAATTAAAAAATATTTAAAATATTTTAAAATGTAAAAATAGACAACAGTTGTGTGTTTTGTTGTAATAAATAAATGGTTTTCTACAAAACATTAATAGGGTCATATAATATATTAGATATAGTAATATAAAATGATATTACATTTTAAAATAACTATTTGAATATGTTATTAAAATGTAATATAATCCAGTGATGTCAAAGGTGATTTTTTCAGCATCATTACTCCAGTCTTCAGTCTCACATGATCCTTCAGAAATCATTTTAATATGCTGCTCAAGAAACATTTACGATTATTGTCAATGTTGAAAAATTTTGATCAATAGAGAGTTGACTAGAACAGCATTTAATCTAAATAGAAATCCTTTGTAATTTTAAAAACGTCTTTACTGTCACTTTTGAAATGACACAGCAGTGACTGATAAAGAAAAAAGTTCAACTGGCTCCTAAATGTTATATTTTAGGAACCAGTGGCTTTTTTTATGGAGCTCTGTAACAAAATATTTGAGCACAACTAAATCATTCATGGCTGTTTTCCCACTCTTTCATTGTGCACAAGGCACTCGGACCCGTCACGGGTGTTCAAAGATGCCTTGTCTGGAAGCTGTCTTCAGTCAGGCGGGCTGAACACTTGATAGCATGGGACAGGGTCAAAGTTCACCCATTTCCCAGGGAGGGGGATGTGTGCCATCTGCCTGCTGTGTTGGACATGCTTAGTAACATGCCTTCACACTATATCTAGAGGGGGGAGTTAAATTGCCCCGTTCCTGGAGCCCTTAATAACAGCATTTGCTAGCTTTAATGGTAGGGTATTAATAATAGATATTTGAAATGTACTCGTCATGTGGGTTTCCCCTCTACCGTTATATTTGGAGCTGAAACAGGATCTGTGGAAAAGAGAAATGTGAAAAACCTTTTAACCTGATACCTGATAAGGAACTAGCATGGTGTTGGTTTGCTGTGTTTGCTTCTCATGTGTACTGAATAGAAGTATAGCATTACTACACTACCATTCAAAGGCTTGGGGCCAGTACTTTTTGGTAAAGAAATTGTTTTTTGTATTCAACAAGGATGCATTAAATTCATCAGAACAGTGAATATATTTATAATGTTACCAAAAATGTCTATTTCAAATTAATGCTTTTCTTTTGAACTCTCTATTCATCAAATATTAATCATTAAAAGTAGCATGGTTTTCACAAAAATATTAACCGTTTTTACCATTGATAATAATAAGAAATGTTTCTTGAGCAGCAAATCAAGGATCATGTGACACTGAAAAGTAATGATGCTGAAAATTCAACTTTGACATCACAAGATTTATTTTTTAATTATATTATATTAGAAAGCAGTTATTTTACATTGCAACTAGTATTTTGATCGAATAAATGTATCTTTGAGCATAAGAGACTGTCAAAAACATGTTAAACAAATAATAAATACAGACCCCTTAAGCTTCTGAATTTCTTAATATTTAGCTGACCTTGTAATCATCAGTGATTGCTAAACATTAATCTGTAGAAATAGTTTAGGATATCCTTCCCATTTCAAATATAATAGAATAAGACCAATGACTGGCGGGATGTGAAACTTAAAACTTGAGGTCTGTTAAAAGTTTAAAACGTTTGCGTCAGGTTATTTTGTCTGAGCCAATTGCCTGAGTCGGAGTCATTACCCAAATTATATTAAGTCAACGGAAACATGATGCAATGATCATTACTCAGATTTATTGTTCATTTTATGCCATCCCACAGGCTTCTATATTGAACCTTTTTTCTAAGAGTGTATAAAAGTTCGAAATACATGACCTCACATTGATTACCTTTCCAAAAACTGAATTCTATGAAATATCTGTACATTCATGGCAAGTCCGTAGTGCCTAGTCATCATCTCTTATATACATTCTTATGCCGTTTATTCACAATAAATAATTCTAAACAACTTTCTAATAAATATAAATCTCTATCTTAACAATAATGATGGTCGTGTATATTAACCAGTTTTTAATATACAAATTAACCCATTTTGACTCATTTACTACAATCTATAGAGATTTTCCATATGGATGTGCGATTTTGCAAACGGAAATCTTCCTCTGGGACGCTTTATAAGGAGTGGCCTTAATAACTGCTATTAGATTGGGTGCAAGGACATGGAAAGCCGTACCAGCGTGATCTAGTCTCTTAATTCATATCTTGGCCAAGTATGAGCCTGGCACCAGCCCAGTGTGGCCGTCCCTGTCCACCGTCCACCAGCCGTCTCCTCCCTGATCCACTACGAGCAGAACCTCCCCCGCAGAAATGGAGAGCTCATCAGTGCCCTGCACACAGAACTTTAAAGGTTAGCTCACCCAAAAATGATTTACTCTCCCTCAAGCCATACACAATCTCAGTTATATTAAAAACATATCCTGGCTCTTCCAAGCTTTATAATGGGAGTGAATGGGAACTTGGATTTTGAACGCCCAAAAAAAAGCATATAATCTTGCTAATCTCTTGGAAGGACATTTTTTATTTATTTACCTGAGCTACGTAGTCATACTGAGCCTGGTATGTGGCGCTCTGAGAGACAGCAATGTTTGAAGTCCCTTGTGGAAATACAGGAATAGAAGCATACACTCCATCTGAGTCGGCTGAAAAGAAAAAAAAAATTAATAATGACGGTACATTTACACACACACACAAAAGAGAGAGAGAGAGTAGTTGCCAAAAGATGTTGTCCGGCCTAGGAAAATGGACATCTTTACCCCTTTTCAAATATTATTTGTAAGCATATTGTGCAGTTGTGCTTGGAGTCAATTGTTAAATTTGTGATAATGCAATGCAACATGGAAAATTGTGCGGACATCATTTCTGGCCATGCAGACATATAAATAATTTATGAAAACAAGAAAGAATGGAGTGAAATATTGTTGTATACCAACTGATTTTGTTTTGCCCATTGTAAAACAACCTGTACCTGTAGTTTCCCCTTTTTTGCCAGATAAACCTTTATTGAATTGTTCTTCATTCATATTTAAATTTTCTTTCAATTTTAAGATGGTTTAACCAAACTTGTGGGGTCATTAAAACCAAATAGAGTTCAAAAGGTGCAGCACACACATCCAGAACCATAAAACTGGGTGCTGGGCAGACGGATAGTTGCAAGAGAAAACAATGAGTGCGCACACCAGAAAATGCTTAATAGAAAAAATTTTAATAGTTTTGTAGTACTATTAAAGTTGTACACATCCATGATAGAACCAATCAAGTGATAAAGCCATTACAATTCTGATGTAATTTATAATATAATTGCTTTTTCACTTGATTGGTCCCATCATGAATGTGTGTGATCATGTGAGTATGCATGGCTGTATATATGGAGGTGTGTCTCCCCACTTTTTTTTGTGTCTGATTCAGGGCTTGGGCCCGAAACGTTACACATGCTGAGCAACTATTAAAATTGCTAAGGAGCATATTCTGGTGTGTGGACTTCATTTTTTACTTTTCCATTAAAACCAAATAACTGGCCACTACTGTCTGTCTGTCTGGATGGATGGATGGATGGACGTTGACAGCAACTAACAAATACGATCAATTTTTAAACAAATTTTGATTTAGCTATTTATTGTATTATTTTGTATTTTTGTACACAAAAATTACCCAAATCCTAGTCAATGAAGTCATAGGGTGGGCTGAAGTGCCCCCTGGTGGTGAATAACATTTGTGTTTACAGTAACTATGACATGAAGATGGCTAGAATTTAAAAACAATGTAACATGCAATTTGAAACATATTAGAGAGCCGACAATGTCATTAATATGTTGTAATTTGTACCTGATGGAGGTGCTGATGGCTGAATAAAGTCATTACTTGTCTTTGAGCCAACGACACAATTGCCTTGCAAAAGATTTGAAAACCTTTCAAAAAGAAAATAATCAGAGAATAAAAATGTGTAAAAGGAACATTAAAATTAATAATTTAATTAGAAGATAAAACATATTTTCTACATAAATGGCAGATTGAGATAATGTATTTACTGATAACCATAAAAACAAATGTTTTTGTACAATGTTTTACTTGTTAATGCACGTTATATGCTCACACAGAGCAGTATATCACACCTCACCACATCCGCTTGCAGCTTCACGTTTTACTGATCTCTAATAATAGTAGGCCTACATGTTCCATTCATTTCTGTTTTGTCAGCATGTCAAATACATAATGTAGATTAATTTATACATTAACACACAGATCCACCAGTGGAAAACAAACCTCTTTATCACACCTCCACCAAACCGCGTGATGCCGTTGCTGTCTGTTGTTGGTTCTCTGTCATAATAGTTCTCAAACACAATAGGCGCTACAAACAGACACAGATGGAAAGTTTCATTAAGCAAACCTTCCACAGAATTTCTTCCGTATTATATCAAATCATATGGTTAAGGAACTAAACTAAGTGTAAAACAATAACCCAGTGGAAACTACATAAAAGCACTGACCTGAAGGAGTGGTGCCAGTACTTTTTGTCTTGATGAAACTGTTTATGTCTTCCGTGATGTCACACATTTCCAGAACTGCCCTCACCTCCTCATAACACTGAATACAAATGAACAGTAATTTGTCAATATGGGAGGCACTTTTTTTTAAAACAACTACAGAGAGTTCCAAAAGTCTGAGACCACAAGTGAATTTTTTCTATTTAGCATTTTTATCATTTAATACCACATTTTTCTAATACGAAAATGTTGCTCTTTCGCGTTTAATGACAGTAAACTGATGATGTCATCCAGCTTGATTTAAGATTTTCCCTGCAGATCAACGAAGTTCAAAGGATCAGTGACAAGTCTGCTTAAATTTAGATAACTAATATAAAGAATAATATGCGTTTCCTACTCATTTTACAATAGAATTTCATTATTTTAATGCAAGAAATCACAGGAAAATGTTTTATACGGTGAGGAAAATAAGTATTTGAACACCCTGCTATTTTGCAAGTTCTCCCACTTAGAAATCATGGAGGGGTCTGAAAATTGTCATCGTAGGTGCATGTCCACTGTAAGAGACATAAGCTAAAAAAAAATAAATAAAAAAAAAAATCCAGAAATCACAATGTATGATTTCTTTTAACCTGCAAAATAGCAGGGTGTTCAAATACTTATTTTCCTCACTGTATATATATATATATATATATATATATATATATATATATATATATATGTAGCCCCGCCCCCTTTCTGTGCTGCACTCGTTGTGTTCTGTCACAGCACATGACACATTACTTTAACTCCATATTTAGTTAACTCCACATTACGCAAATCCACTTGGCCAATTACTCCTCGACAGTGATGCTGTAGATTTATACAGAGCTAATGCAAAAAAGGAAGTTCAAACACAAAATTCTAAAGATGGCTGTGCGCTTGTTTCTCTGGTACGTGTGGTCACAGGCCTACTTCCCCACTTAATTATTCACAGTACATTTAGAAAATAATTTTGTATTAAATTTTTCAGAAATGTTATGTTTAAATATACAAACAAGGCATTATCTAATTAAATATGCACTAATTTGCATGTATAAAGGTTATACAGAGGAGGATAAATCAGTAATAATAAGTCACTCCAAAATCAGTAATACTGTCACAAAAAAGTATATATTTTTACCACCATTAACCATTAAATGTTATAAACCAGGTGAATGATATGTGAACAAACCTCTCTGTAAAAACCTTAAGTAGTAGGAAAAAAATACACTATGGAAGTCAATGAGACCAGAAACTGTCTGGTTACTGATAAACTTCTAGTTCTAAATATCAAAAAAATCGTCTGAATACATTCAAAAACGGTAAAACCCTGGTTTAACTCTGGGGGAGTGGTAAAATGAGCGTATTTCCAAAAAAAAAAGTGTAGTATCCCTTTAATAATGTAAGGAAAGAAACTCGAGAGTGTGATGTATTTAAGTGTTACTTATTTCTAGGGGGAAAACTCATTTTGAAAAAACAGCACTTAAAGATTATGTATTGTAATTGTAAGGCAAAAAGATAAAGTTGGTAACACTTTGCTATAAGGTCATTAATATATCCATTAACGCTGCAGTCCGCAGTTTTTAGAGTCCGCAGTCCGAGACTATTCTTTATGTGTACAGATGTGACGCAATGACTCAATATAGCCTACTGAGACTCTTCTTTATATGTACAGATGTGACGCAATGACTCAATATACTATCCTAGCCGAGACTCTTCTTTATATGCACAGATGTGACGTAATGACTCAATATAGCCTACTAGCCGAGACTGTTCTTTATGTACAGATGTGATGTAATGACTCAATATAGCCTATTAGTACAGACTCTTCTTTATGTGTACAAATGTGACGTAATGACTCAATATAGCCTACTAGCAAATGCTCGAATCTCCCGTGAAAATCCACCAGTACAACTGGAATTAAAATAGTTTGTTAATAGTTTAGAAAAATACAACTGTACATTGTTAGCTCATATTAGATCGAGTCCATTAAATCACATTTTGATTTTCAATAATGTATTAGTAAATGTTAGAATTAAAATGAACTAAGATTAATGTGTTTTTTATAGTTAGTTCATATTTACTAATGTTAATAACAAATAGAACCTTATTGTTAAGTATTACCTCAAAATAAACACTTTAAATGTGTATTTTGGATGTTTTTTTTCTTCTAGTTTCAAAGAAGACATGCCAAATAGCCCAAAATATCAAAACTGACCAGTGCATGGAGAGAGAGAAACAAACAAAAAAAAAATGATGGCTTTGCCTTAAATTGATAAAAATGTGAAAATCAGATTTTCAATATTTTGAATTTGCATGTATTTAATAATGTCTGTAGCTATTATCAGTGTAATCTTTGAAAAAGCTTCATAAGTAATACTGACCTCATCTTCTTTGACGCATTGCATGGAAAAGTGGTTGCAGTGGACCCAAATAGCATTTCTCAAAATATTAATACGATCATCTTCCTGTTGCTGGAAGACCTGTAGAAATAACATCATGATGTAAATAATTTTACAATGTCTGTCAAATTTTCATTTATGGTTGAACTATCCCTTTAAGTAGAGTAATTGATAATTTAGCCAAGTCTTTGCCAAACTGTCAGTGGGACACATGATGATCAGAATAGGTGTTATAGATATACTTATTTTAAGCCAAAAAAAAAAAAAAAAAAAAAAGTTTCTTGTGCAGTTTAGTTTGGTATTTGTGGTTTGTGTGGTACGCAGTGTATAAAACACAGAGAAAAAGGAAGTTAATTTTTAGTGTTCTACGTGGTTCACAGCTTCAGCATAGAGCTATTTCTATTTCTATTCAAACAGATAGTCAAGTGTGTGTGTTTCTCTTTACCTCACATGTGCATTCATGCGTGGTCTCCCATTCCTGACGAATCTTATCCAGCTGCTCTATGTTTGACATGTACTGTTTCTCTGTCAATCGAGAACAACTATCAGTCTCATTGGATTTCCAGCAATTGAAATCTTGCTTAAAAGTAATTGAATTGTGCATTTAAGGCATTACCAGCGTCTTTGAATGTGCTTCTGGTTCAGATGCATCAACTGATCACTTTTGCATTGCAATGTGTGAAAACAAAAGCGTATTTCCATTCTCACCTGCATCCGCAGACACGTCCCTGCACTGCTTTGCTTTGTTTTGCATCTGTTATGGAATAGAGCACAACATTGTTCAAAAATACTCAGTGGCATCAAACAATATCACTAGCATTTGTACCAAAATTGTAAATGGTTTTAAGAACTCATTATTGGATCAAGAAAAACTTCAGTACATTTTTTTTTTGTTTTACAAAGAAGTCTCTTATGCTCACCACACTCCTTTTATCCCTTAAAAGTCATCTTTGATCATCAAAATGACATTTTTAAATCATTTCTTCATTCCTTAATACTGCTTGAATGTAACTCTACACACCCTTGCTTCAAATAGTATACGTGTGTTACGTGTGTTGCTAATGTTACACAACCCATGTTCCCTTTCGCCTTCTCTGAGTCAGACAGCTACCTTCTAAAAACCAACATCCTTAGAAACACTGAACATCATAGGAAGGCCCCACCCACACGCTGATGGGATTGTGATGGTGGGAAACAGGGGCGGTTCCCAAAATAATCAATACTTTACCTTTTCAGATTGTTTAGGGTGACAGTGGGTGTACTGTGAGCTTCTCCACAGTCTGTTCAGCTTCATCAGCTTCTTTACATCTCTGTTCATATGCCCTTTTAGACTGGGAGAATAGAGAAGTACACGGTTATTATGGCACTACTCATATAGACTTGAATGATGGCCAAGTGAACCACAAATGACTTGAAAATGCTAAATATATTTAATTCAAATTTAAATTAATATGCATGGAATTTCTTGTAGTCTTAATAGGAACTAATTAAGAACCATTTGTTACATTGACATAGTGCTTTTTGCTTTAGATATGAAATATGGGAATGTCCTCAACCACCACCAATGAGCAGCATCACCTGGATGATGTGGCGGCAGGCAGCCATTTTTCACCAGAACACACACTAGCTTATTGATGGAAAGGAGACAGAGTGATCAGCCTATCAGTATATGAGAATGATTAGGAGGCCATGATGGTAGACAGATGCCAATGGGTACATTTTTGGCCAGGATGCTGGGGTCCTTTTCGAAGAACATCCTAGGGTGTGTTATGACCACAGAGAGTCAGGACCACAGTTTAATGTCTTATCTGAAGGACAGTGGTGATTTACTTTTCTCACTCTTTTGTGTCATGAAAGTCACAGAAAAGACAAGAATAAACTTTATCTACTTAAAAATTGCTACTTTCATGTAATCTGACTCAACTGCTTTTTTACTGACCCAAAATCAGCTCCAAATTAAACTGATAAATGATGAAGTAATTCAATGTACAACCGCCATAAAGCAACAGGAGAACAATACATACAGTAAACTAATGTAAAACTAAACTTCCTTTTAATAATTCATTATGCTGATATCACATTACTTTTTTTTACTTCCTCCAAATGCTTCTGCTGCTTATAGAAAAAAACACTACCATACCATAATGCCCATAATTTTTATGTGATCAGAAATGGCAGATTTCCAGTACTGCTAAATGGAAGATTGCAGAAATTCAGTTGATTTTATTTTTAAGACGGAAACGGAACTCACATTTGTGGAAGCTCGTTTCTGCCACTGAATAAAAAATAAAAAGGTAATTGCCACTTTTTATTTCGCAATTCCAACCTTTTTCCCCAGAATTGCGATAAAAGAAAGTTTATATCATGCAATTCTGAGAGAAAAGTTAGAATTGCGAGATAAAAAAAAGTCAGAATTGTGAGAAAATAGTCAGATTTACGAGATTTAATATACAAGTAACATATCAAAAATCAGCATCTTAATCTTTAGAATGTCATCAAACTTTCCTCAAAACAAGGACATAAAGTGGTGCCTAAAAAAACGTAAATTGAAACAGAAACAAACTATCTGTGAAATTAGATACTGATAACACTTCTGCTGATATTCCGTGTCATAGCAAGCAAAGCGTCTCATCTAAAAAAAAAAAAAAACGCTGCACTGCCAAACACTCACTGTTTTCAGCTGTCTAAAAATGCTTGTGGACACCCTGCCTTAGAAAAAAAGTTTCAATAAGGTTCTATATAGAACCCTGGGGTTCAAGACTTAATTTTAAAGAACCCTTTATGTCAAAAAGGTTCTACATAAGAAGAAATTCAAATGATAAAGTATGTTTATGAGCCGTTTAATTGATAAAGTTAAATTAAAATAAAAAAAATGTGAAAAACTAAATCCATAAAATTTTCTCATGATGGGAAACCCTAAAGGTTCTAAAGTTCTTTATAGAACCTTTTGTTTTTTTTTTAATAAGAGTGCAGGTACAGTCCGCTGACACTCTTTTGTGCTTTTGAAAAATGGTTGAGTTGTCTAGTCTTGTCTGTCTGGCACCTTGTTTACTGTGAGTGCGGTGAAACTCCTTCAAGTGCTTTTGAACAATGGTTGAAATTCATTAACTACACCTTCGAACTACAGTAGGCTAACTATCTTTCATTTAGTGGTTATCATAACCCTCATCTTTAACCACTAAGTTAGACAACCACTATGACAGTTCCTGACTAGAACAGATAGTCACGTCCCCTTTTACTCGTTTGTTTATCATATCAGATCGGTTTTCACAATGCTATATGAAAATACGAAGTAACTTAACCTTTCAACATCTCCTCGCCTCAGTCCTAACCTAACATACACGTTTGCTTTCTTAATGTGTCTGATGTACCAAGACAAACGGAAAATGCATATTTTTCTTAGCAACAGCAGTCTGTTTCAGGAAATTGCAAATTACGAGGAACAGAAAAAAACCCAGCATTGATAAAATAGAGTCTATGTTGGTGAGAGTGAACAGAAGTGTGCCCGCGAGAAAAAAAATAACTTCTAGTAGAGAAGTGAGACTTCCTGAAGTGGCAGTTACAACATTTTGAAGACCCATCCCCCTCCCTGCCGTGCACACTAGCTGTAAAGAGTTTAGCACAAGCACTGATGATTTAAATCACTCTCCTTTCTCCCTTCCTCTTCCTGATATTCTGCTTTCAGTTTGTAATAGGCAAATACATGATATCCCATAAAACTGAAGTGACTGCAGCAAGTTAGACTCACCTCTATGGTTTTCTTATGTAATGATACTTTGATCTTCTGAACCTTTTCCATGACCCCTTCAAACTGTAAAAAGAAAACATTTTAAGTCATTTGAATTATTGAGCTTTAATAAATCACATT